AGGATGCAACATCAAAATGTCTCCCACCACTTCCCCTACGTGCCTTCTTCGCTTCTCGCGTTATACATAAGACGTACAGTACATCCTCCGTATATGCCTGTTGTCGCTTTCGTCTATTTGACAGGCGTATACGGGTCCGCCGAGGGACACCTACCTCTGAGTGTACACAAAACTAGTTTATTGATCACATATTATCTAAAATATCTTGTAAGATAATATGCAACCAATAAACTGGTTTTGTGTAACACAGTGTACGCAACTGGAAAGCACCCAGTATTGATACTGGATGCTTTCCATTTGCTTAACACGTCTTGACACATATGTACACAGAAATGCATAAAGTGTAACGTTGTGCACTATTCAATTGGAACAAAGTGTGTACTAATGTGTACGTATGTCGGATAGGGTTAGGATTATTTTCCAACTGTGCTTATATTTTGGTGTTTTTTAATAATAAATAATAAAAAAGATATTATCCACTTCACAACACAAATGCCAGTCTCTTTTCAAGCCGCTACGCTTATTAACTTTAATTTTCACTAGAAAACGCTAGTTTACACAGCTGATGTAACGTCCGGACTTATTTTGAAACATTAATAATATATTAATATAGATCCGAGGCCGACTTGTCTTATTTCAGACATTACTAGATATATTATACCTATGTTACTAGACTAAGTACGTGCGCACATGTATATTCGCGCACGTTAAATATTATAATTAAAATTATAACGCTGAACACTGCGTGTCGTTAGAGAGTCTTAAAATCGATGGATCAACTGTAGACAAGAGAAACCGTAATCGCTCAATGCGATAAGGCGTCCCTCTGCTAACATAAACAGGAGCATGAAAACTGAATCCAAACACCACTCAGGACGACGCGGCGATATCGACGCGGTGACAACATACCGATGGGATGAATCTCTTCCATCTCCACGACTCCATCAGCCAATCAGGAAACGACTCTCAGCGACAAAGCGACATATAAAAACGCGCGCATTTGTTGAGAAGGCGATTATTTCTTCTCATAATTAGTCTCTGGTCATTCTCGTGTACTTATTTGGAATATATTAGTCGTAAAATCTAACTGTTGCAATTACTTTTGCCTACCCTTCATTTTTCGAACGTTGCGAAATCGAAATTCGGAATCGCGGGCCGCATCATCCCGCGCAGC